GTAAAACAAAATTGACGTAATATATACATTTCAAATAAAATATGAACACTTTGATTACTTTCAAGTTGTTGTTCAATTTTAACAAAAATTGATATAAACATATAAAGTGATATGAACTTTCAATCTAACGGTTGGATTTACAAAATTCACATTTAATATAAAGTTATTGAGCGGTGTAATACTTAGTAAAAGTTACACCAGTATTATTATAACCCTTCTCATTTTAAAATATATAAATTATTATTTAAACATTTAAATTTATAATAAATAATTTAAATTGTATAATAATATTAATTTTAAATAGAAATAAGTAGATTGTTAATTATAAAAGTAAGTATATATATAAATAAAGATTAATTAAATATAATATAATTATTATTATTGACAATATAATTATTATTATTGATAATATAATTATTATATATATTATTATATTTTTATAACAGTCCGGATACACTGAAATGAGAGGGATCCAAAGATAGTATAAGTATGAAATTGTATAGTTGAGGATGACTTAAATGAATTAATTTGTACTATCTATACTGACAACATGTATCTGCCTTTTGGTAGCTTATTTCACTATAACTCCACAGTTACGCGTGCTTGACTTGGAATAATATAGGAATGAGTGACCTTCTGGGAAGTTTCCCAGAAATTGTGCAATAAGGGCAAAACACATTGAAAAGTGAAGTGTCTTGAAATAAAATTCTTGAGAGGCTAAATATGAGGGTTGTTACATTAATAAATTTATTAAAATTAAACAAAAAATTTTGCAACGGATTTATCTGTCGGAATCATATAAAGATTTTCAAATAATTTCTGACAAATGTATCCATCGATAATTTCTGACGGATGATTACCTACGGATTAAATTTTTTTCGACGAATTTTTTTTTCTTCTGACGCCCAATTTTCCAACGGATTTGCATCCGTCGAAAATAGAGAATTTCCGACGAATTTTCCTTCTTTCCAACGGATTATGTCCATCGGAAATTTGCGTTTTTCTTATAGTGGCCTAATGTTATAGACAACGTGAACGCCAAATATAGACGAATCTCTCTCCCCTCGTTCGACACCATTCAACCCACGCTCGACACGATTCTAGCCCGAGATGAATCTCTCCTCACATCCAATGCCTCCAATCCTACGCTCGACGTGAATAAGACAAAGACCTCTCTTTGGAGTCACATCTAGTGCCTTGAAGGCATGCCTAGCACGATATCAATTTTCGCACTTATAAAAAAATAATTTAGGCCAATCTACCTAAAATTTAGCAACCCCAACAACATGCATAATGCAATAAGCAACATATATACAACATGTACAACACAATTTCATCATCACAAGCAACATGCAAATGAAATCAATCAAGAATCAACTCAATTTCTCATACTCCACTCCAAGCTACAACAACTTCAAAATTTCCTCATTTTCATCACACAAGAATTTGAAATCATAGCTTCTATTAGAATCAATCCACAAGAGTAGAAGGGAAAAAAGATAACTCTGTACACCGTCTACTTGAAGTTCCAAAATTGGAAGCTCGAATTCTTCACTACCACTAACTTGAATCAATTGAGAAAGGGAGAAAAGAAAAGGTTCTTAGTGAGAATGAGGAAGAAAGAAGAAGAAGAAAGAGAGAATCTCTGTCTAGCTTCTCTCTACAAATTTTGAAAACTTGCATTATGAGGTTTATAACTGAAAAACTCTCTTTTATACTTTTCTAAGTTGATTCCTCTTATTTCTAGTACTGCCCTTCAAAGACCAGCTTACTCTGAGGATCTCCCGATTCCAAAACTCTCAATAGCATCTATCAATTCAACAACAAAAGTTAGAAATCCACAATATTAAATATATAATTTTACAAGTTTAATTAATACACATTTCAATAGAGATTGTTATCTATAATGATTTTTTTTCTTCATAATTTTATAATAAAAACTTTTAAATTATTGTTAGAGTAGTTTTAAATTATTTGTCAATATATTTTTTTATTGATAGTACATAAAAATTAAATTCTTCTTTTAATTTTTACTCCCCATTCGTAATATAAAGCAAATCTAGGGGATAAATCCCCAAAATCGTCAATATTTACTTCTAGCGTGAATATAATTAATAATAGCTTAATTTAAGACTTGGAATACTTAACAATCCTAAACCTACTACTGTGTCAAAAACTTTTAATTTATTTTACAGAAAAAAAAAGAGTTTTAAGTTTATCATAAAAAAAATGATGAAAGAAAAATTCCACAAAGCAAAATAAAAATAAAAATTAACACATGAAAGCAAAAGAAAATGGTAATACTTAATAAATGGGAATTTTCATAAAATTAGAAAGCACCATTAATCTTTAAATGTAACTAAAATATAGAAAATTAAAATTAAAATATAATTTGGAAGATTATTTTTATTAACAAAAATATTTTTAGTAATAATTCATAAATATTCTATATGTATTATTGACTGTAAAATCAAACAATACTTTAAAGTGACGTGAAAATTCATCAAATACAATTTATTTATAATTAAATTAGTAATAATTAAATACTATATAATGTCTCGTATTAACATTCATTATCTTACAAGACTAATGTTACACAAATACTATCTGAATATCCACCGAAGTCCATAAGACAAATTCTTTGTACGGAGTTTTCTTGCTAATGCTTAGATGTCATAATATCTAGAAACAGACAAACATGAATTGCATGCATATTAAGTTACTATCTTCATTTGTTTGATTGAGCAAGTTTGTGTGAATATGTAATGCCCCCTAGTGACATGTTGTGATCACAAATGGTTGTATTTTCACCCTAATATGATTGTAAACTCTTAAAAATCATTTTTATAAGTTTTTTAAAATAGTATTGTAAATGTTGTGATTACAAGTTGTTATAAATCCTATATCCTAAATCCTAAATTCTTACAAATTTACATATATGATATTTTGTGATTGAATAATGTTGTAAAAAAAAAAAAACTTCTTTTAATGCATATTATTTATTCATAGGGTAGAAGTTTAACATGTGGACACTTCCTAATTATTTTTTTTACAATATTAGCTAATCAAATAATCTTTTATATAATTTTTTAATAAGTTTAAATAAATTTTAGCTCTCAAATTTAAATTATTATTTTTACTTCCTGTAATTTTTATAAATCTTGTTTTAATTTTTTATATTGTCAATAACATATATGAAATGGATATATTAAAACATTTATGTATTATCAGCTAAGTTTAATGAGATAGTTTTATTAATAGAGATATCGGTACATATATTTTATGCGACAATAATTTACAGATTCCTTAATAAAATTTGAATATAAGAAATAAAATAGTATTTTTGAAATTATATGACTTAAAAGACTAATATTAAATTTAAAGACAAATAAAATTATCTTAAATTTGAAAAATAAAAAATATATTTAAATTTTTTAAATATAATTATCATATTCCTAAAAAATAATTATTTTAAAATTAATAACTTATTATAAATAGCCATTTATATTGAGTCAAAAACAATAAATTAAAATATGATAAACTATATTATCTTATCTTAAATATCAAACAAGCCCATAAGATGCATTGATGTTTGATTAAAAAAAATGTATTGTATCAAACAAACCCACAATGCATCGTTGTTTGATTAAAATAAAAGGCATCAATGTACCTTGAAAGTTGAATCCATCATGCGAATGCGATTCATGTTTCTGATGTGGCAATGATTCATGATTGGATGGAGCGGGTGCTGTCCATGACTTTGGTTAAAATTTCATATATATTTTTTCAACTCAGGTATGTTTTTACTTCTTTAATTTTAGGATAAATTTATTTATTTTTCTTAAATTTAAAATTTATTTTTTCAGTTTCTAAATATTTTAAAAAATCCTTATTTTTAATATTTTAGAACCATATGCAGCCACCTCATGTGTACGGTGAACATAAACTTAAATATATAAATTTAAAATTTATATCATATCAATATTAATAATAAGAGTCAATTATCTATATATTATTATTATAAATTTTTTTATACTAATAATTAATTATATTTTTTAAATTATTTTATTTTATTTTTATTTTTATTAAATAAGTAACTGATATAACACTATTAAAAGATATGATTGGTTGTTGGTGTAAAATTTTTTTATAGATGATTAATTCTAATAATAAATATTTGTATTTTCTCTGGACCTATTCGTGGAAAAATGGTGCCAGAACTTCGTTTGCGTCCCGACATGTCCTCCCAAATCATGTCGCCGCCGTTCTCCGCCGCATGATTGCGGCCTTTCACGGAGACGAAGGTACCTATTCGTAATTTTATTTTTCAAAATTATTTACTAACCTATAAGAAAATAATATCATGGTGATATTCGCTTTAGCCTTTCTTTATCTTGATTTGAAAATATGTTTCGATGTCACAATTTTGTCCTTGATATTTCAATGAAATCTTTAATTTCGATTCCTAAATGATATTTTTTTAAATATATATGAAAATAGATAGTGATTTTAATTTTTTTATTTATTGCATATATAAGACTAGATTCGAATCTTTAATTTTATTTAAGCGTGGATCAATTCCTACCGCTGAACCACATGATTTAGAATTTTGTTTCATCTTAACCAAACGAAGTGGTGGTAGTGGAAAAGGCAGAATGTAAGAAGAAAAGAAGAAATATAAAATTAGAGGTAAGAATAAGACGAAATAGCAATAGCTAGGAATCCATATGCATCGAACGTGACATCCACAATTCCAATGGCGTCCTCATCTATGCCCTCTTGATCGTAATAACCGTCGTCATTTCTTTCTTTATTCTATTCACAACCACACCTTCCTTCTCCAAGTTCCATTCTCAACCAACCCCTATTTATGGTAACAAAAATGTTGCGATTCCACTTCACCACACTCAAACCCTCGCATTTTCCCCACCCCACCAGGCTCAGATCGCAAATGGCTTCTTTCTCCACTTCCTCCACCCTCTTGTTCCGCCAGCTTTTCGAGAAGGAATCTTCCACCTACACCTACCTTCTCGCTGATGCATCTCACCCACAAAAACCAGCACTTGTAAGATTCTCTCTATTTTCTCCCCAATTTTCTCTCACTCCTTCTTCTTTAAATTGGAAAATGCTTGCCAGGTACCGGTTAGAGAATCGAAGTCAAGAGTTTTTATTCAAAACTATATGACCGTGTTCTCGTGTAATTTTATTGTACTTTTGACTTTAAATCAAAGTTAATTCCTTAATTGTTGACTTTTAAATAGGAAAACGCTACCCAGTACATTTTGGATAATGATTAAGAAATCAGAAGCAATTTTTTATTTTATTTTTTTTATTGAAAAGTATATTTCTGCTTATTTTCTGTGTAATTTTATTGTAGTTTTCAGTGAAAACTTTTTAGATATTAATTCCTTAATCAGTTACCTTATAACAATGGTCATCAATACCCTTTTAAATATTGAATTTTAATAATTAGTGAATTTAGTCTCTCATTCTGCTGTCCTAAGTTTTACAAAGAGGGAATTCACCCGTTATCGAAGATACAAGGACCAAAGTTATTGTTTTTAAAGTACACGGACTAAACAATTTTGATAAAGAGAGTGATGTACCCGAAATTAAATTTTGAAGTGTGTGATTGAATATTTGCGGGATTTATTTATGTGGGTGGAAGTCTTTTGGATTGGATGCTTAATTTTCCTTTTTTTTGGTGATTAATAGAAAAAGTTTATTGGAATTTCAGTTGATTGACCCAGTAGATAGGACAGTAGATAGGGACTTGTCCCTTATTGAGCAACTGGGGTTGAAGCTTGTGTATGCCATGAACACACATGTACATGCGGATCATGTCACCGGGACTGGCCTTATCAAGGTGTGTACCACCTGAGTTATTACTTCCTTCTTATCCTTTGTGCATCCAGTTTGTAAATGTTTTCTCTAAAATGGGTGCGAAATGGTTTACCCTACTTAATTTAATGTAAAGTATGGTGTGATGTTAATCGTGTATGTTCTTTTTGAATGAATTTCTCTAAACATTTTTGGGAGAAGAAATAAGAAGGTAAAGTGAGTTGTACTTTGTTAATAAGTTAAAATTCACTTATAACTTTTGGAGATGTTAGATGAGAGAATTTTTATAGAAGTTAAAGTGTGTAATTTTAACTAATGAGAAAAAACTGAATTTATTTTACCTTCTTATTTTTTCTTTTTTCTCTTTTAAGTGTTTATGGATACGTTTATCCAAACAAAGCCTAAATTATTTGAGGATAGATACACCCTTCAGTTCATTTTAGAGAAGACTTTTCCAATCTTTGTGATGACTTTTCTGTGATGTTAACTTGGGGTGTTTTTGTAATCCACTTATACAGAGCAAAGTTCCTGATGTAAAATCTGTTATTTCAAAAGCAAGTGGTGCAACGGCAGATCTTTATGTGGAGCCAGGTGACAAGGTCCATTTTGGTGATCTTTTTCTTGAGGTAAGACTGCAGCTGCTTGCCTAGTAAATATGTTGCCTCTTGTTTTGTAATCCCTGGTTATCAGTGTTATATAGGGAATTATCAAAGGTACCTTATATTTCATCAAGTCCTAATAAGGGAGTGAGGGGTTCTATGCTTGAACTGTCTATTTTTTCAGTGTTTGATAAATGAATGTTGGTCTACAAAACTCTAAACTTAGGAAGACAATGATAAAATATAATTAGATGCAGCTTCTAGTATTTCGACATCATTTAAGACATTGCTACCACATTTCTAGTGAAGGACTCTGATTAATCAAGCTGATGGATAGATCATTGATATGTCTATAGTTGCAGAAAGCTTAAATCATAAACTAAATTATGGCAGCGTTGAAAGCTGGCTTGTTATGACTGTAATTTCACCAGAGAAATATAAGTAATACCTATTCAGGATTACTCTGTTTTTGTTATCAAGGATCTTCTCTTTGCATTTATTTGTCAAATGCATCTTATTTTCTGTTTGGCATGGTGTGGAATTGTGGATGGCTCATTAAATGGTTATTGTATCATACTATCATCTACTCTAATACATATTATTGTCTTTATTGCTGCAGGTTCGTGCAACTCCTGGTCATACCAAGGGTTGTGTTACCTATGTTACTGGAGATACACCTGGACAACCCCAACCGAGGATGGCATTCACTGGAGATACTCTATTAATACGTGGATGTGGAAGGACAGATTTTCAGGTATATATTGTTTTCCCATTTTCTTAAGTTATGCTTCTCAAGGGTGTTCAAAGTTGTATCTGAACAAACAATATGTTACCTCAACTTTATTGAATGACATATTGACATTGGACTTGGGTCTTGGGTCTTGGTTCTACTGGCTATTTTTCAACATCATCTGAAAAACTATCCACTGTCCCATTAATTATTATGCAGGGTGGAAGTTCAGAGCAGCTTTACAAATCAATTCATTCACAGGCAAGAACTTGACAGTGATTATGTTAAATAGAAACTTAGAAAATTAGGCTAATAAGTAAAAGAGATGAGATGTTTCTGGTTGATTAAATTTGGATATTAATACTTAATCAATCATTCACATCTTTTTTGGAAACAGATTTTTACATTGCCCAAGAGTACGCTAATCTTTCCGGCTCATGACTACAAAGGATTCACTGTAAGGACACCCTTAAGCTTTTTTCTTACCAAATTTGTTGTGAGTTGCTTAAACAAATTACTGATTGTAGGTAAGCACTGTTGGAGAGGAGATGCAATACAATCCACGCCTAACAAAGGATGAGGTAACGTTTGATGATATCTTTATTTTATGAGCTCAATCCACTAAATGAAACTTAAAAGTGGTTAATTAGGAGAAAAGACTCTTGTAGAGATCCTAATGGAAGATTATACACGTTATTATGATTTAAATGTTTAAAACAGAAACCAATTTACATCACGGCTGCTACCATACCCAGTAATATCTATACTCTCATAATAGAAAAAACATTACATCTGAATTGGTAGATAGAACTGAGCCTAATCAGTAGCTAAATTTGTTTTTAGTTTACTTGTAGTTGATATCTAATTGGCAATTTCTCTGCATTATTAAGTGAGTAATGGACTTTAGTATTATATGTTCATATATCACTCATTCAACTATCTGCTAGGAGATACTGTTTGGTCAAATATGTTCATGAAATGTGAAAGCATTTTTTCCTTTTTCTATTATTCCTGCAATGAGATTTTTAAAAGTAGACCTTCTAATTTTGATGAGAATTTGGATTTATAACAACTAGCTAAAATAAGTTTTAATATGTATAAGTTACAATTTTATTCTATTATTGGCTAGCCCCAACTAGTGTAGTATCTCACAATTGAAAATCTTGGACCCTTTTTTTCCAGGAAACTTTCAAGAACATTATGGCAAGTAAGTGGTAGCAAATTTTTATAAAACCTTAGTCAAATTATTTTTTTCACATGCATTGTTTCAAAGACCACTGTGCTAATTATGGTAAGTTGATTTGTGCAACAACAGATCTTAACCTGTCATATCCTAAAATGATTGACGTAGCTGTCCCAGCTAATATGGTTTGCGGAATCCAATCCAAAGCAAGTTGAGCCATTATAAACCTTATCTGAGAGTGACACGGTGATGTTGTACAAGGAAAGACCGTGCAAGCAAAGGGAGAGAAAGTGTTGTAGCCCTTTGAATTGAAGAGAAAATAGAAATTGTAAATAAATAAAATGTAAATGGTTTGTACGACCAATATAATCTATAAATAGGCTCCAGTGATTATGTTGTGTTTTCTTGTATTTGATTATTGATGCTAAACTTCTTATGCTTTGAAGTAAATTTTAAAGGAAAGTTGATGGAACGTAAATGGTGGCTTTTCATCAAGCATCTCTTATGGACTAGGTTTCACTTTTGCTGGCTAACTTTACAGTGAAGGATAAATTATCATTAATTTAGTGCAATATTGTGTTACTGTGTAATATTTAGATGTCATGTGACTAAAAACAGCATTTTTCTTTTCTAAAAAAATAATGACTTTGAAAGAACTTTTGTAAAGATTCTTATCATTTTTTATATAAAAATTACTACTAGCAAAATTAATTTCTCAAACAATTTTTTTATATCGCCACGTTTGTCCTTTATAATGACATTTTAGGTTATCCAGAGATAAAATTTAAAGGATAGTTTTGAGGTAAGCTTTCAATAGATTAATTTTTTGTTTATAAGTGTACCGTCCAGGTCGTAGCCCGACCTGGTTTCTCATTTTCCTTTGCATCCTTCTCCCGCTGCTATTTCATTGCAGCCATCTCCTGCTTGAGCAAACGCACGGTCTCGGTGAGATCAGTTTCGTCCTCAACTTCAACATGTTCCTCCTCGGTTTGGTGATTTTCCGTGTTCATTCTTCTTGTCTTCGTCATAGCCTTGTTTTGCTGGTCTTTCTACCTATCTCGATCCAGCCCCACAGTGGGCGCCAAAATGTACCTGTCTGAAGGGCACACTAGTAATCTTCTCGTATTCTGAGGGCCGAACGAGAGCTCCGATCGAATATTCCGGTGAGGGGGAGGTACCTGCAAAAGGCACTCCGACGCTCAAGTCAGGACAAAGCACAAATATCGATAGTAATTAATGAACAGTGACGTTACCTTGTGACCTGTGCTATATATACTGATATTTATGGGTTCGGATTCCCATGGGCCCTGCAACAAGATTACCAGATTAGGTAATACGTCTCTAATCGGCTTGCTAGTGTGATTAGCTCTTAATCCTTGATTATGGGCTAATCCTTGATTCTTTCTAATAAGAATCTGAGCCTATGGATCATTTAGCGACCGAATGGCAATCGGCCACCTGGTTCGGCCATTCAGGTGCCGATTGGGTGTCGGCCAACAGGTGGCCGAACGGCCGAACTAGGTGGCTGAATGGGCTTACTAGTACAGATTCATTTTTTTTTTGTTATATAATAATCTCTAACAATAACTCATAATATTTTTTGTTATATTATGATCTCTAATAATAACTTATAGTTTTGTATGAATGTACGGTACATTTAATCATTTTTTATACAATTATGTGTAAGTTTACACTTTTAGATTTTAGAATTGAAATCATAAATAATATTAAATATTTATTAGAGTATTATTTTTTCACTTTGCTTTATAAAAAATAAAAAAAAAATTAAAAAACCCGAACCTACCCGGTCAAGTGCATTCTCTACTACAGAACATGATAGTTTTAATATTTTAAATTTGGAGTGAGAGTAGACTTAACTTTCCAGAAAATCATTTAATATTTATTCATAACCAAAATAGGTGTGTAACATAGTATAGTCTATTAGATGTTAACTCGCATGATGCACATGTTTGCTTTTAAGATTATAATAAATTTATTTTTATAAAAAAGACTGATCATGAATAAGGCTTTGAAAATTGTCAACATTAAGAAGAATTGACTCATACTGTTTATATGCATGTTTGAACCTAACTCTTGCTGTATATTATACATATTTTAATAGTGGTTGCATAATTGGATTGTTATATTTTGAATTTCAATTTCGAATATGTGTACAGCTGCGTTAAGGAAAGTTTTACACTTTTAAAATATAGTTCTACCCAATTTAGCTAAGATATATACGGTATATATATCGAAAACATAATTCAAATTTGATCAATTATTTAAGAATTTGCCTTTAAGAATTTTAATGTGATTGAAATTTAAGACATTCCTTTTTTGGTGAGTGATTGAAAGACATGTTTTTTTAGAAGAAGACATTGTTAATTATACGTTTTTATTAATTTCTATATATCCTTCTCCCGCTGCTATTTCATTGCAGCCATCTCCTGCTTGAGCAAACGCACGGTCTCGGTGAGATCAGTTTCGTCCTCAACTTCAACATGTTACTCCTCATGGCGAGAAATCAGGAGGGAAGCTCGTCAGATAGGCGACCCAGGTGCACGCAAGATGACACCAGGAGGGATAGGCGTAGAGAGAGAACTCCTCCTAGAGACGCACCAGCAAAGGTGTCGGAAGCCCATCAGCAACCCATCCATGGGGATTTCAACACCATCGTAGGAGGCTTCGCCGGTAGGGGAACTACCTCGGCAGCCCGAAAAAGGTACACTCGGTCAGTGTTGATGGTGTCGGAGTTCAGGCGACCATCTCAGCCTGAGATTTCGTTCTCAGACGCGGATTACGAAGGAGTAGCCCCTCATGAGGATGACCCCGTCGTCGTATCGGCGATTGTCATGGGGTACAATGTGAAGCGCGTGTTGATTGACTAGGGAAGTTCCGCAGACATTTTATTCTGGGAAACCTTTGAGGGGATGAAAATACCTAACGACCGACTAATTCCTTATGCAGGGACTCTAGTTGGTTTTGCAGGAGACCAGGTCATCGCAAGGGGATACGCCGATCTGGAGACGACCTTCGGCCAAGGAGCTCAGATGAAGACGGTGCTCGTTCGGTATTTGGTGGTCGATGCTCAGTCATCGTACAGTATACTGATCGGCAGGCCGACTCTGAACAAGCTGAGATCAATAGTGTCTACTCCCCATCTGAAGGTAAAGTACCCGTTGCCGAGTGGCGCTGTGGGGGTTCTCAGGGTGGACTAGGAGGTTGCTCGGAAATGCTACGAGGATAGTTTAAAGGCGCGAAGGCGACTGTACACTAAGCGGGTAGAGAAGGAGGTCCACTCTGTCGAACTGGATCCTAGAATGGGTCAGTTCGACCACCGACCCGCCCCAGCAGAAGACGTCAAAGAAGTGGAGGTAATGGAAGGGAGAAACGTGAAGATAGGTACCTCTTTGACTCCCGAAGACGAAGAGAAATTGGTGAGGGTCCTAAAGGACAATGTGTCGGCATTCGCATGGCACTCCAGCGACATGCCTGGAATTGATCCAAATTTCTTATGCCACAAGCTAGCCATAGACCCTAGCGCGAAGGCAGTGATCCAGAAGAGAAGGAAGTTTGGCGAGGAAAAACGAAGGGCTATCGCGGAAGAGACGCAGAAGTTAGTGATGGCAGGACACGTCCGAGAAATCCAATATCCGACCTGGTTGGCAAACGTAGTCATGGTGCGCAAGAGCAGCGGGAAGTGGAGAATGTGTACGGACTTCACCGACCTTAACAAGGCCTGCCCAAAAGACTCGTACCCGCTACCGAACATAGACTGCCTGGTGGATGGGGCATCGGGATACGAGTTGCTAAGCTTCATGGATGCCTACTCGGGGTACAACCAAATCCGAATGCATCCCGCAGACGAGGACAAGACCGCTTTTATAGCCGATCAAGCCAATTTCTGCTACAGGGTTATGCCGTTCGGTCTGAAGAACGCAGGGGCGACTTATCAGCGACTGATGGACAAAGTCCTTGTGAATCAACTAGGGCGGAATGTGGAAGCTTATGTAGATGACATGGTGGTGAAGTCGGAAAGCGTCAGTCGGCACTTTGGCGACTTGCAGGAATTGTTTGACACCATTGGCAAGTACCAACTCAAACTGAATCCTGAGAAGTGCTCTTTCGGTGTCCAGGCGGGAAAGTTCCTCGGTTTCCTACTGACTCATCGCGGCATTGAGGCGAACCCCGACAACTGTTCGGCCATCATCAACATGAGGAGCCCATCCACCGTAAAGGAAGTCCAACAGCTAACTGGAAGAATGGCATCGCTATCCCGATTTCTGTCTCGATCGCAGATAAAGCTTTGCCCCTCTTCCAGTGTCTGAAAAAGAATTTATGGGTTCGGATTCCCATGGGCCCTGCAACAAGATTACCAGATTAGGTAATACGTCTCTAATCGGCTTGCTAGTGTGATTAGCTCTTAATCCTTGATTATGGGCTAATCCTTGATTCTTTCTAATAAGAATCTGAGCCTATGGATCATTTAGCGACCGAATGGCAATCGGCCACCTGGTTCGGCCATTCAGGTGCCGATTGGGTGTCGGCCAACAGGTGGCCGAACGGCCGAACTAGGTGGCTGAATGGGCTTACTAGTACAGATTCATTTTTTTTTTGTTATATAATAATCTCTAACAATAACTCATAATATTTTTTGTTATATTATGATCTCTAATAATAACTTATAGTTTTGTATGAATGTACGGTACATTTAATCATTTTTTATACAATTATGTGTAAGTTTACACTTTTAGATTTTAGAATTGAAATCATAAATAATATTAAATATTTATTAGAGTATTATTTTTTCACTTTGCTTTATAAAAAATAAAAAAAAAATTAAAAAACCCGAACCTACCCGGTCAAGTGCATTCTCTACTACAGAACATGATAGTTTTAATATTTTAAATTTGGAGTGAGAGTAGACTTAACTTTCCAGAAAATCATTTAATATTTATTCATAACCAAAATAGGTGTGTAACATATTATAGTCTATTAGATGTTAACTCGCATGATGCACATGTTTGCTTTTAAGATTATAATAAATTTATTTTTATAAAAAAGACTGATCATGAATAAGGCTTTGAAAATTGTCAACATTAAGAAGAATTGACTCATACTGTTTATATGCATGTTTGAACCTAACTCTTGCTGTATATTATACATATTTTAATAGTGGTTGCATAATTGGATTGTTATATTTTGAATTTCAATTTCGAATATGTGTACAGCTGCGTTAAGGAAAGTTTTACACTTTTAAAATATAGTTCTACCCAATTTAGCTAAGATATATACGGTATATATATCGAAAACATAATTCAAATTTGATCAATTATTTAAGAATTTGCCTTTAAGAATTTTAATGTGATTGAAATTTAAGACATTCCTTTTTTGGTGAGTGATTGAAAGACATGTTTTTTTAGAAGAAGACATTGTTAATTATACGTTTTTATTAATTTCTATATATTTTTTACTCATGCAATGAATCACATGTTACATTATCAA